CATTCCTGTGGGTTGGTTGTTTTATTTTTATTTTTGGATGATGGATTGAGTAGTGGCATGGAGAGTTTCGAGGTAAGAGAGAGTTTTATCTTTACAGTTTAGGCAAAATCGCAAAAATAAATGAGGCTAAGAGCTCTCTGGCCGAGGCCGTCTCTTTTAGTGCTTGCAGGACTGACCGTTTTGTTGGCCTTCAACGGTTAGTTATAATAGGAACCGACACACATGGCATGCATTATTTAGATCCAGCTTTTAAAAAACTTTTTATTGGAGTATAGTTGATTTACAATGTTGTGCTAGTTTCAGGTGTACAGCAAAGTGAATCAGTTATACATATACGTATGTCCACTTTATTTTTAGAGTCTTTTCCTATATAGGCCAATTACAGAGTATTGCACAGGAGTTCCCTGTGCAATACAGCAGGTTCTTATTGGTTTTCTATTTTATATATAGTAGTGTGTGTGGGACTGACATAGATCCAGCTTTAATGCCAGAGTTTTGGCTGAGGCAGACTTTCCAAATCAAGTATTTTTGCCAGAAGTGACAAATTTCCCTTCCCAGAGTAGATCAGATGCTGATGGGAACAGACGGCCTTCTGTCCCCTCTCTGCCCCACCAGAGCTTTTCTGCCAGGCCAGCCTTTCTCTGCTGCTTCCCTTCCCACCCTAAGGTGTTAGCATCCCCTCACCACGTGAGTTTTGTCGTTTGTTACTGCACCCACCAGACTCACAATAGCTCCTTTCTTTAAGAAGTCCTTGCTGGCCTGATAAGAGCAGCAGCGTCCAGAGACTTAAAAAGAGCTTGTCCATTTATGTTTCTGAAAAGCCCTCGCCTGTGTTAAAAGTTTCTCTGTGCACATATGTGTCAGGGAATGTTTCCTTGGGCTCCAAGACTGTATTTCTTGGCCAGAGGGAAAGCGCAGTCTGTATACTTAAAAATCTGAAATCTGAGATCTTTACATGATCAATAGCTTGTCGGTTTGGTTCGGCCACATCTTCGATATTGTCAGCTTTGATTAAATTTGCTGTTCACCCTCCCTCCCCGGCTCCCCACCCGCCCCAGACTCTCCGACCTGTCCCAGGTACCTGGTATCCAGAGCTGGCAGTTATGGTTTGTCTCTCCTTAACACGAGGTTGAAGGGTATCCCAGGTGGTAAGCAGAATGAGGGAGGACCCAGAAGTGAATGGGGGCATTTTCATGGTGATCCTGTTCTAGCTCCTGGAGAGGAAGAAAAAGAAGGCAGAGTTTTGAGCAGAGTGAAAACAAAAAAATACATATTTTCCCCCTGCTTATTCCTGACCAGTACTAACTTCGGACTCTTTTGAGCTGGAATCCTTGGTCATATCATGGAGACGAGCTAGATGGCATGTTCTAAGATTCTTTCCCTGATAAGATAGAGAATTGTTGACAAATGCTTTTTGGTTTAAGGGTTTATCCATATGAGCTTTTTTTTTTTTTTTTTTTTTTTGCGGTACGCCGGCCTCTCACTGTTGTGGCCTCTCCCGTTGCGGAGCACAGGCTCCAGACGCGCAGGCTCAGTGGCCACAGCTCACGGGCCCAGCCGCTCCGTGGCACGTGGGATCTTCCCGGACCGGGGCACGAACCCGTGTCTCCTGCACCGGCAGGCGGACTCTCAACCACTGCGCCACCAGGGAAGCCCCATATGAGCTTTTGAGGGAAACTTTTATTATTATATTCATTGATGAGGAAAATGGAGAGGCAGGTTCTGAAACAATCATCCCAAGGCTTAAATGAGGTATTTCTTTTTATAAAAATCAAAATTGTCTGGGCTGAGGTTCTAATCAGTGGTAGGAATGGGTCACGGTTGCCTATTAGTCTTGTTTGCGTCGTGGTGTACACATTTAACTTTTGGTTAGTTAGTGGCCATTTAAAAAACAGACCCATACCTTAAAGGCAAGAACGTTCAAGACCCAGGAAACAGTGGAGGGAATGAGGAACCAAGCGATTGGTCCAGAAGGGGCAATGCCCAGTAGACAAAATGAAATACATAGACATGGACTCATCTAACTAGGGGCCCCAGATCACTGGATGTTCCATCCTTTCTTGTTAATCTCGAAGGTGGAGTGTTTGGGGGCAAGGGGTGTGTGCAGAGCTGAATACATATCAGCAGGGCTTTTAGGGGTTTGGTGCTGGGTTATTTAGAAGTCAGAAACTCAGTGTGGAGTAGTCTAGAGAGAAAGAAGCACAATGAAGAAAGCCTTTATACATTAAAGCCATAGGCTCAGACAAATAGTACACATGCCCGTGCAACATTACAAAGAAGAGAGACCCGGAAGAAGTGAATGAACAACTTTCATCCATCGAAAAGTGGCAACGTATTTTCCTGATTGGAATATTCATTGACAAAGCACTTTAATTTCCAGTCATTTTCAGAGTTAAGGTGGAGGTGAACAGTGTACACTGCAGTGATAGCATGGTGGTATTGAGCTCACGAGGTTGAATTAGGCGACTTTGGGTCGTCTGCTCCTTTTCTGTGAAATCACCCGAGTGGGTGCAGCTACACAGTATGGATCTGCTTCACAGTGTTCATTGCACCGAACCCAGGAGTTGAAATGAGCCATAAGAAAGAAAACTCTGTTGCTTTGCTGTTTCTGTGTAGGAGTTTGTAATCGACACACCATGCGAAAATGCTGAGAAGATGTCCATTGGAAACGCCATGTACTGGAATTATGCAGCAGTCTTTGCCCAGCTCATCATAAACGGAAGATCTCAAGGTTTGTTACCAACACAGAAACCTAAGATATTTCCCTTTACTAGTACTATTCTCCCGTGAGTACTTTACACAGGAAACCCACCTCAGAGGGCTGTTTCTACCTTGTAAAAAAATTCAGCACTAACATTATCTCCTAAATATACATGATGAGACGATTTATCATTACATTCAACATTAGACACTATGATGGGCAGCGCACAGTCGTAGAACAAAATGAATTTCAAGCTCAGCATAATTGTACACTTGACCCAGGAAATGAGCAAAGCTTTGTTCATATCTTTAGAGACCTTAGTGTCTCTTCACCTTCCTTAGGGCCCCACTGTTTCATCGTTCCTGTCCTCGATGGTGAGTCCCCAGGTGACCCCTCTCCCACCCTTCTTTGCACTTCCTGCCTGTTCCCTACCCCACCCAGTGAGAATCTAACCTAACTCACGAAAGCAGTGAAGGCAGAGAAGGCTGGTTTTTTTTTTTTTTTTTTTCTTGCGTTATGCGGGCCTCTCACTGTTGTGGCCTCTCCCACTTGCGGAGCACAGGCTCCGGACGCGCAGGCTCAGCGGCCACGGCTCACGGGCCCAGCCGCTCCGCGGCACGTGGGATCCTCCCGAAACGGGGCACGAACCCGCATCCTCTGCAACGGCAGGCGGACTCTCAAGCACTGCGCCACCAGGGAAGCCCAGAAGGCTGGTTTTGAAGCCTGATTAGTCTCCTGTGTATGGCAGTTAGAGAATGTTGCAGACTGCCATTTATGAACACGCATTGGTCCCATTTCTCCCAGCCTCTCGTGTTTACTAGTCATGAGGCAGCTCTGTCCCCAGCTGTTTCGTCTCCTCTCTCCTTCTTGGACTTGTGGGCCCTCAGAGGGCAGGTTGAGGTTCTCTCTTTCATGGCCCAGAGCCACCAGCCTCAGTGGGTCCTAAGGACTGCCTCTGGACTAGTTTGCTAGGGCTGTTGTACTCACACTGAGTGGCTTAAACAACAGAAATGTATCGACTCACAATTGTGGGGGCTACAAGTCGGTGGTCAAGGTGTCAGGAGAGTTGGTTCTGAGGGCTGGGATGGGGAGGGTATTCTCCAGACCTCTCTCCTTGGCTTGTAGGTGGCCATCTTCATGGTCACACGGCATTCTCCCTGTGTGCTTGTCTGTGTCCAATTTCCTCTTTTTATAAGGACGCCAGTCATTTGAATGAGGGCCCACAAATGCCCTCATTTTAACTTGATTGCCTCTGTACAGACCCTTTCTCCAAATGAGGTTACATTCACGGGTACTAGGGGTGAAGACTGCAACATATGAATCTTGGGGGAGACACAATGCAACCCAGAATGCTTGGTGAGAGCAGGCCACGCCTGAGGGCTCCACTGGTTGTCCCCAGCCAAGTGAGGCCAAAAACGCAGGTGTGGGGAGAAGGGAAAAAAGAGAGAAGAAAGAGCAGAAGAGAAGGGGGAGGAGACGATCCTTTGGAGGATGGGGCTAAGCTCACCCTGGCCCCGTAGGGATATTGACCACCGCATGCCTGCAGGAATGGGCTGCAAGTGCTTTAGGTGACTGAGGCCCTGCTCCCTTGAAAACACCTGGCATGTCAAGTGCTGTTGAGAGTAGAGGGGTCACCCAGCCCTCATGAAGTGGTGCCAGACATTCATGAGACTGGCAAACCCAGAAAGTCTGAGCTGGTTTCCTTGTAAGCTCGTAAGTACCACTGTGACCTTGTCGAGGGGTGATGTTCTAAATAAGACCTGTACTAAAAAAAGATCTTTTCTCCCAGAGTAAGTCTCCCTAAGTATGAGATGAACAAAAAATAGACCCCAGATTCCGACAGGTGTTCTGAGGAAATGGGTCTGGCAGATTTTACGAAACTTCTTGGGAGGTGGTCACCCTACTCACCCACTGCTGTCTCTCTGGCCGTTTCCCAGTGTCTTCTAGGCATTTGCTGTCGCAAATTCACCCCGTGTTCTGGGGAGGAAGCACCGAGAAGGGGGAGGAATTTGAGTTCTGCATCACTGGGGGGCGTAAGGGGCTTTCCTCCTCCTCTGTGTTCAGTCTGATGTTCTTTCAGTTGCCTAGAATTCTCCCTTTTCTAGTCACAGCAGCTGCTCAGGTGGGAAGCTGTGTCCCTGCCAGACCCCATCCCCCAGCTGGCCTCAGAGCAGGTGGGCTGCACAGAGGGTCTAGCACTTTCTCCTCTATTCTTGGTAGGGAGGAGGGGGCTGGAGAAGCAGGCACCACTCTTCATGGAAACAAGCAAACAGCATCCCCACCCCAAATAAGAAAGCAGCAACAATTCTGCAAGTGAGATAAAGGGCTTTGCATTTAGCAGCGACAGACCTGGGAAGTGGCCCGGACAGTGTTTCTGATGCACATAAACTTGCCCCCTACAGCTCCGTTTCCCGTCTGCTCTCTCTAGGTCTGCATGGTGTTGATGCCCGGATTCTGAGATTTGACAAGGTTCGGATACCAGGGGAGAACCTGCTGGATAAGTGAGTAGTTGTCTCCTTAACTCGGACTTGCTGTGCGTGAGAGCCCTTTGCTCTCCTTCCCAGGCCTGGTTCCTGGGTCTCATGGGCTGTACATCCAGAGTGTCTTCTCATAACCTCTCCTACAATTTTACTGACAATTAACTGAGAAATGTAGATCAGCAAATCAAAAAAAATCAAAATTATCCCAAATGCTATCAGCCAGACACAATGTTTGTTATACTTTCATGTATAACACTTTAGACTTTTCTCTATGTGGGTATATCTAAAGAGAGAGAGAAATGTTTGATTTTCACTGAATGAGGTCCACTTAGAAATTCTATTTTTTATAACTTGTAATTTCTGTTTAACATTATATGTCCAATGTTTCTGTGCAACAATAAATACACATAGGCATTATCATTTTTATGTATTTATTTTATTTTTGGCTGTGTTAGGTCTTCGTTGCTGTGCACAGGTTTTCTCTAGTTACGGCGAGCGGGGGCTACTCTTCATTGTGGTGCGCGGGCTTCTCATTGTGGTGGCTTCTCTTGTTGCGGAGCACGGGCTCTAGGCACGCAGGCTTCAGTAGTTGTGGCACACGGGCTCAGTAGCTGTGGCTCGCGGGGTCTAGAGTGCAGGCTCAGTAGTTGTGGCACACGGGCTTTGTTGCTCTGCGGCATGCGGGATCTTCCCGGACCAGGGATAGAACCCGTGACCCCTTCATTGGCAGGTGGATTCTTAACCACTGCACCACCAGGAAGCCCCTATCATTTTTAATATTGCCATAATAGATTGTTAAATGATCTGTAAGTTATGTATGAATCCCTTACTGTTGGTATTTAGGTTATTTCCTTAAAAATATTTTTCTTTTGGCTATCATAAAATAATTAGTGTTGTTGCCTCCTTTGTGGATGACAAGAGATAAGGTACCATCCTTCAGCTTCAGAGGCTGTTCTAACCAGTACTGATTGGGTGGATAATATCAGAGGTGCTTAGTGCCATTTCCCAGCATCCCTCAGTGAGGTCAGATGGGTGAAAGAACGCGGTGGAGGTTGCTTCTACAAGTGCATTCCAGGGATGGAGCCCCAGGGGTTCACTATGCTCTTTGCAGAGGCTAAGAAACACCAGTTAACTTTACTTTTCTCAGCAGCATTTCGTGTATCCAATAAAAATCCTGAACTACAGTGATATTTAAATTTGTGAAGAAGCAAGCTTGCTGCTTGCTTTCCTACAGATTTTCCTTTAACACTTTACTCCTTTTTACTTTTAATTGATTTTTATTGGAATACAGTTGATTTACAACGTTGTGTTAGTTTCAGGTGTACAGCAAAGTGAATCAGTTTATACATATACATATATCCACACTTTTAGATTCTGTTCCCATATAGGTCATTACAGAGTACTGAGTAGAGTTCCCTGTGCTATACAGTAGGCTCTTATTAGTTATCTATAGTAGTGTGTATATGTCACTCCCAATCTCCCAGTTTATCCCTCTCTTCCCTTTCACCCCTGGTAACCATAAGTTTGTTTTCTACATCTGTGACTCTATTTCTGTTTTGTAGATAGGTTCATTTGTACCACTTTTTAAGATTCCACATATAAGTGATATCGTATGATATTTGTCTTTGTCTGACTTACTTCATTCAGTATGACAATCTCTAGGTCCATCCATGTTGCTGCAAATGGCATTATTTCATTCTTTTTTTATGGCTGAGTAATATTCCACTGTATATATGTGCCACATCTTCTTTACCCATTCCTCTGTTGATGGGCATTTAGGTTGCTTCCATGTCCTGTTTATTGTAAATAGTGCTGCAATGAACACTGGGGTAACTTTACTCCTTTTTACTGCCTACAAGTTCTTGCCAATAAATAAATGTCACAGATGCCAAAAGTTTAAGGACGATATGGTGGAAACAAACTTAAAATGGACCAAATTCTGGTTGACATTTTTTTTTTTTTTTTTTTTTTTTGCTGTATGCGGGCCTCTCACTGTTGTGGCCTCTCCCGTTGCGGAGCACAGGCTCCGGACGCACAGGCTTAGTGGCCATGGCTCACGGGCCCAGCCGCTCCGCGGCATGTGGGATCCTCCCAGACCGGGGCACGAACCAGTGTCCCCTGCATCGGCAGGCGGACTCTCAACCACTGCGCCACCAGGGAAGCCCCTGGTTGACATTTTTCCCTCTGTGAATTGGTAAGAAATGAAATGGAAACAACAAAAGCATCTTTGTAGTTGTCCTGGTGGGTGATGAAGGCCCCAGGCCTCCTCAGGAATGACCAGTGCCCATGCCAGCAAATCATAGGACCACCAGCCTTCCGCAGAGGTGCCTGTACCTTTCCTGGTGACTAATCAGCATCACTCCACTCCCGGAGATGGGGAAGAGGGAAGGAAAGCCACAGATTTGGAGCTCTCCATTTTTCACCCATACTAACAGAATCTTAGTGGACTGGACAGTCCTTGGCCAGAACCTGGACCCACTGGCTTAGCATTTATCCAGTGCACTAGGGATTAGAAAGTCAGATTCAACCAGAAAGAAAAATGATAGGGAGCTACACGGTCTGTAGAAAATATGAGAATATATAGAATATTCTTTGGTAAGCAAGATTTGATTTAAAATCCATTCCATAGGTATTTAAGCTGCCCCTCCCCAAATACTACAGAACAGCAGAGGTTCTAAAATTCATATGGAAATGTAAGAGACTCAGACTACCCAAAACAATCTTGATAAAGGAGAACAAAGTAGGAGGACTCACATCCCTGTTTTGAAAAATTACTACAAATCTACAGTTAACAAGATAGTGTGGAATTGGCATAAGGCTAGATGTATGGACAATGGAATAGATAGAGGATCTAGAGATAAATCCTTGCACTTATGGTCAATTGATACTCAACAAGGGTGACAAGATAATTTAATGGGGAAAAATGGTCTTCTCAACAAATGGTGCTGGCACAACTGGATATCATAAGCATGAAGTTGGACCTTTACCTCATATGATATACAAAAATTAACACAAGATGGATCACGGATCTAAATGTAACAGCTAAAAGTATAAAACTCATAAAAGAAAACATAGGTGTGCTGGGACTTCCCTGGTGGTCCAGCGGTTAAGACTCCACACTCCCAATGCAGGGGGCCCATTTTCGATCCCTGGTCAGGGAACTAGATCTCTCATGCCTCAACTGAGAGTCCACATGCCGCAACTAAGACCCAGGCAGCCAAATAAATAAATATTAAAAAAAAAAAGAAGACATAGTTATAAATCTTTGTGACCTTGTTTAGGCAATGATTTCTTAGGTGTGACACCAAAAGCACAAGGAACCAAAGCAAAAGTAGATAAATTGGACGTCATCAAAATTAAAAAACTTGTGCAGCAAAGGACACTATGAAGAAAGTGAAAAGACAGTCCACAGAGTGGGAGAAAATATTTGCAAATCTTATATATCCTAAGAACGTAGTATCCAGACTGTAAAAGGAACTGTATTACAGCTCAACAGTAAGAAGACAAATGACCCAATTAAAAATGGGCAAAAATATGAATAGACACTTATCCAAAGAAGATATTGAAATGGCTACTAAGCACATCAACCTCACTGTCGTTAAGGAAATGCCAATGAAAACCACAGTAAAGTACCACTTTGTGCTCCCTTCATGGCTGTAGTAAAAGAAACAGATGATAACAAGTGTTGGTGAGGGTGAGGAGAAACTGGAGCCCTCATCCACTGCTGGGGGCCATGTAAACTGGTGCGGTCAACTTGGAGAAGAATTTGGCCGTTCTTCAAAAGTTTAACGTCTTCATAGGACCCAGCAATTCTACTCCTAGGTCTTTACGAAGACGTTGTCTACAAGAGAATTGAAAATATATATCCACACAAAAACTTGTGTACAAATGTTCAGAACAGTTATTCATGATCGCCAAAAAAAAGTGGAAACAGCACAGATATCCATCAACTGATGAAGGGATAAACAACATAAGGTGCATCCATGCAATAGAGCATCATTTGGCCATAAAAAGAAATGAAGTGTACCGATACATGTTACAACATGCGTGAACCGTGAAAACAGTGTGTCAGGTGAAAGAAGCCAGACACAAGGGCCACACACTGTATGCTACTACTTACGTGAAATGGCCAGAATAGACAAATCCATAGAGTTAGAAAGTAGATTAATGGTTGCCGGGCTCTGGAGGGTAGCGGGTATGGGACAGGACTGCTAATGGTATGGGGTTTCATTTTGGGGGTGATGAAATGCTTTGAAATTGGACAGTGGTCATGGTTGTACAACTTCATGAATATACTAAAAACCGTCGAACGGTACACTTTAAAAAGGTGAAGTTTATGGTAAGTGATTTGTACCTCAACAACAAAAAAGTGGATTAGGGGCTTCCCTGGTGGCGCAGTGGCTGAGAGTCCGCCTGCCGATGCAGGGGACATAGGTTCGTGCCCCGGTCCGGGAAGATCCCACGTGCCGCGGAGCGGCTGGGCCCGTGAGCCACGGCCGCTGGGCCTGCGCGTCCGGAGCCTGTGCTCCGCAACGGGAGAGGCCGCAACAGTGAGAGGCCCGCGTAACACACACACACACACACACACACACACACACACACACACAAAGTGGATTGATGTGCCGTCTTTACACCCAGGCTCTGGTGTTGGTTTGATGATGGCAGTCCTCATGCCTCTCTTTGTCAGAGTCCACTGCTGAGTTGCAGGGTAGTAGTGGTGGGAAATCTGCTCTTACTTTGCGTGAGTTGAGCCTTTCTCAGCATCTCCTGGGGAGGCACTTGTCCTGCTCCCCACACTGCTGCCTTGTGAGGGAGGATCCAGGATGGGGAACCCTGTGCGACTTCCCTGTGTGTGCTTGTGGGCGCCACCTGACCTCATTTCTAGGCACCATGTCCTTCTCTTACATGAACCCCATCTCTCTTTTCCACCTGCCTCTCCCCCACCGCAGGTTTGGTTCTGTGGCTCCAGATGGGCAGTACCACTCCCCCATTAAGGACAAGAGTGCAAGATTCAATGCGATGTTGGCGGTGCTGACCCCTTCGAGACTGGCTGTGACTTTCCAAGCTACAGGCTCTATGAAGGTACCTGACTCTGATGTTAATTTCCCTCGCTATTATTCTCTGCCTGTCCCAGGGGTGGGTAGCAATGTCAGGAGTTGAGCTGCTCGAGCCACGGTTGGTGTAAGGTGGCCTGGGTTGCTGGTTAGAGGCTAGCGAGTGCCAGTTGGCGCTGCACAGAGGACCTTTCTGCAGCCTTCTTACCATGGGGTCCCATCGCCCTGCATCCCAGATGTGTGCTGCTGATTACACAGGGTGGAACATAGGTGTTGCGGCAACAGGGCCACTAAAGATGGTCCCGGGAGAATTGGTTGTTCAGAACAAACACATCTTCTGGAAAAGCAGCTAAGAGCTGACTCATGGATAAGGGCCTGCGTGCCTTGGCTGAATTTACTGGGGGGCACTGATGCTTGTACGGCTGTTTTGGCGTGTGACAGTCACCATCACAGGCAGGAGTTCATGAGGCCAGACCTCCAGAAGCCAACTCTGCCTCCCATTTCCTCCCGCCCCCTCCTCTGTCTTGGTTTGGAAAAAGCAGCCAGGAGAGAAGAGCTCTGGAAGGCTGCCTGCTCCTCAAGGCACTGCACTGTCTGTTCTATGGTCCCTCCCTGTCTCTTTGTATCTCTTAAGCTCCACTGAGCTTGGGGAAGCTGGAAGGAGAATTAACGTACCCGTGAATATCCATCTGTGGCTTGAACCCAGATTCTCCATCAAGAAGGAATAAGTTTCATTCACCTGACTCCAGGCCTGACATCAGTGTGCAGCCACCTGAAAAGCAGGAAAATCCTTCCTTTCTCCCTTCTGCCGGGTCTGCACAGCTCACAGGAAGCCTGCCTGACCGAGCTCTCTCATGTGGTGCCCTTCCCGTCAGTGGGTGCAGCTGTGACCCTCAGTCCTGAGCCAGTGACCATCTGCCTGCCTGTGGGCGCTGCTTTATGTGCTTGTTTTCGGTGGCTATTCAAAGTGAGTGTGGTGCGTATTCAGTTCTGAAGACCCAGGTCCAGAGTGGCTCAGCGGGTCTCAGCTGAACCGGCAGAGTCAGTGAGGCCTCAGGAGAGCCTCAGGATGCAGGCCCAGGGGTGAGGCCAAGGTGCTGGCACAGCGGCAAAGTATGGAGGAAAATACTTCTTCCAAGTCTGTGAGAGACACTGTTTCAGCCATTTTCCAGACTCCAGAAGGAGGCAAGAGGAGAGAAAGCAGACGAGCCCAGAATTGCACCGTAGAGAAGATGGGACAGAAATCTGATCAGGGTTCTGCGAAGCGGGGACAGCCGCATCTGCACAATAGCCCCTCTGATCACAGCAGCCTCAGGGCCCCTCCGAGGAGAGTGCTGGTGAATATTAAAACCACATGCTGGTTCGTGGCTCTAAAGGTGCCGTAGAAACCCTGTGCTATTACGTTTTGGAGTGGGTGATGTCGTGTGAAGGATGTCCACACTGCCAGGGAGTGGTCCTCCCATTCAGGCCAGTGGTGGAGTCCTGGGGGGCAGGCATAGGGTGGTGTAGATGGGGCATGGGGGGGCCTTCTGGGAGAGACTTGATTTCTAAGTATCAGTAGATCTGGAGCAGTGAGGGTGGGGATAGAGGACACAGAGTGGCTGATTTTTAAAAGGCACCCCTTCTCCATTTTCCTGAGCATTATCAAGGGGCCAGCCCCTGCCAACTCCGGAGTGTCTGGGGAAGAGCGCACATTTGGATCAATTTCTTTTTGGGCATCTGACACACACATTTCGTTCCTGGCAATGTACAGGCCTTATCACGATCTTGGGCTCTGAAGTCGGAGAACCCTGGGCTCAAACCTCAGCCTGGATGTGACCAGCCATGGGGGCGTGGGCAGATCAGTAGCCTTCTTTAAGCCTCAGTTTCTTTTTTGTAAAATGGGCCTTCTGATAATGGTGAGGCCTGGGTGAGGATGTGAATGCGTTGCTGGCACAGAGCAAGGGCTCCGTCGCTCAGAGCTGTTGCTGATGTGATGGCAGCTCCTGCTGCTGTTACTGGGGAGATAGGCGTTGGCTGTGGGAAAGGAATAAATGGGCTTTTCCATGAAACAAATGCCTGGAGTCCTGGCCTCCAGGCAGCCAGGTGATCTGAGACGTTTTGCAGAGGTGTGTGGTGTCCCTTGGATTCCTGAGTATCTGAAGCAAAACACAATGGTCGTGAGTCAGCACCTGCCCTGTTTGGGAGGTGGGTTTGCCTGGTGACGGGGAGACCCCTCGCAGAGCTGGACGGGCCTCAGACCCACGTGGTCCAGATACAGCCGATGTGTGTCGTCCCTGACGGACCCTGGCCACTGTGATCTCATCGCGAGCATCTCTGGCGAGGATGATCTCACCAGCTCTCTTGGCAGCTCCCTCCCCTCCTACAGCTTAAACACAGGACAGATGCTTTCTCAGCTGAAACCTGAGAAGGTCCTGCTTTTTCTGTGCTCACTGATGAGTGGAAAACGGATCCCTTTCTCCAAAGGGCATTCCTCCTGTGTTAGAAAACTGTCACCATGGCTCCCCACGGTGACGTTTGCTCAAGGCCAGCATGCCTGGTCATTTTAAACTCTGCCCAGATGTGTTTTTTTTCCCCCATGGTTATCTCTCATTTTCATAGCGTTTCTCAGTATCTTCAGATTTTCTCTTAAAGTCTTGCTGTAATAGCCATGCTTTCGTTTGTGCCCCAAATGCCATGTCTGATTAAATGATTAGCAGAGACAAAAGGAAAAGGAAACTAAGACATTTGGCAGGAGTTGGCCGGGGGGGAGGGGGGGCGGGGGCGGGGATGCGGACTGAGAGAACTCTGCAGCCGAAGTTGGGGTGGGGGGTGCTGGGAAGCCTTTTCTGAAGGAGGAAGGAAGCTGGGGAGAGTCACGGTGGGTTTGGAGGCAGAAGTAGAGGAAATGTGAAATGTACACGAGGTCTAGCCCAGAGTTTTGGGTCGATTTTGCATGGAAATAATATTCTAGCATAAGGCAAGCTGGTGCCCACTTTCAAAAGAGTCTCCCTAATCCTTTAAGTAGGTGTTACTCCGTAGCCGGGTCCCACCCTCAGGGTTTCGGATGCAGCAGCTCTGGAGCGTGGCCAGAGAATCTGCATTTCTACCCGGGGATGCTGACGTTACCGGTCCAGGACCGCCCTTGGAGAACAGGCGGATGCAGTTCTAAATTCCTGGCCCCATCCCAGCCACCCTGTCACCCTCTGTGGCCTCACAGTGCCTCCAGGATCAAGGCACATTCTCTTCCAGTTTCCAGTGCCTTCCACGACCGACCTCTGACCCCGCCCACCTCGTGCTGCGGTGCCGCCTGGCGAACCCGTCCCCACCTTTCGCCTGGTTAGTTTCCCGGATGTTTCAGAGCTCCGGTAAATGTACCTCCTTCAGAAAGGTCACAGCCCGCAAGCGGTCCCTCTGTCATGTTCCAAGACTCTGCACTCCCCTTGCAGCGTTTATTGTGGTTATAACCGACTCATGGTGTGATAGCTGTCTCCCCTGCAAGCCTAAAAGTTCCATGCTGCCAGGGGCCCTGCCGGCCTCGTTCTCTGCCGTGTATTCAGCCTCCCACACAATGCTGGGCACCGAGTAGGTGCACAGCAAATAGGACCTGAAAGAATGGATGAAGAATGAATCAGAATTCACATAGAAAGCACCTGGGTTAGTTCTTAGCGGAGATAAGTTCTCAGTATGTGTTCATTCTGTGCCTCCCCATCGTAACCCCTCAGCCTGTAGCCAGGGTGACCGGGATGGATGTTGCGGCATCTTCCTTCTAACTCTCTGTGGCTCTTCCGCCCAGAATGAGGTGTCTTCTTTCGTCCTTCCTGTTTGTCCTGTCCCAGGCACTGCCCTTTGTGTCTCCTTCGTATGTACGTGCTGGCTTACGGCGCCAGGAGGGGGCACTGTGTTGGCGCACGTTTTGCAGTTAGGGATGAGGCCCTGGTGGTCAGGGAGTCACTCGGGGTGGGTGGGCACCTCGCACAGGGTGTCAGCGACACGCAGGGGCCATACTGCAGGGTCTGCGTGTTGAGTACGAGTCAGGAGTCCTGGACTGTCTCTCCAGTTCTGGATCCAGGGATCGCTGAGACCACGCCCACCCTTCCGGCTGCTGGAAAGCACGGTTTCTGTGGAGAAAGCTACGGCTTCTCTCGTTTCTTTGAGTGAAATGATCAGCTGGCCCTTGTTTGCCTCGCCTGCTTTTGGCAACTCTGCCGTGTGCTTGGTGAGGTCACAGTTAAAGCGGGGCCCAGATCCCCCCCGGGGTTGGGTGGTCGGCCAGGAGAGCCTGGGAGACCGCAGGCTGAGTCTTTGGGCCTCCCCGGCCAAGGGGACACCCTGCAGAGCGCAGATGCTGGAGGCGTCAAGTGACTTTGTTCTGTCAGGGTGAGGCCACCACTCCTAACCGCGGGCAGGGAGGAGACCCCATGGTCATGGCCCCCCTGGATGGGCTCAGGGTCTGCTGCCACTGGGGAGTAGTGGGCCTGGGGCTTCACTTCAGTTTCTCTGAGCTTTTAGTTTTCTCACTGTGTGAAATGAGGCAAAAAAAAAAAAAAATCCATCTGATGGAAACATTGTGAAAATTCCACGAGTTAATTCATCTCTTCACCATCACCACCACCACCAAGACTGTTACAAGAAAATAATACTTTTTGAGCCTTTATTATAAGCCATGCCTGTCATAAGTGCTTTACAGGTGTTAACTCATTTCTCCTCGCACAACTCTGAGAGGGTTCCATCGGTACCCTCACTTCACATATGGGGAGACTGAGGCAGAGGAGGTAAAGGAATTTGCCTGAGGTGGGCACTGACTATGCTTCCTTTGACTTTGGTGGTCCTTGTTACGGTAGTAGATGGTCCCGTGTTTGGAAGGATGGTCCCAGCATGTTGAGTAGATAAGATTGACATGTAGATACTACTAAAAGATACGGTAGAATTAAGGGGGAACAGGGGCAGCCCGATACAGTGCCTGAATACCTAGGAGCTGGAGATGCTTGGTCACAGGTGTGAGCTACTGAGTTGGCTGAGTTACAGCTTTGGGTCATGGCAGGCCAC